TACAGAGAGAGGTGGAGACAGGAGAGAGGAAGACATCTAGAGCCCAACCTGCCTTACTTACCATGAGGGCCAAGACTGCAGAATAGAATGTTTGTAAACAACCAAGGACTGGTAGGAAGCCAACTTCTACCTAATAACAAGGAGCATGACCTTGTATCCACTCCCCATCCTGCTGACTACTCTACAGCTATGTAACATGGCAGCACCCAGCACAGCCTGGGGGTACCTCTCCCTAACTCAAATCCATGGAAGGAGAGCACCAGGTAAAGTAAGCTTTATTAACTCCCAAAGGATTAATTTGACAGTCTTCATCAATGAAGACAACTGAAAAGGAGCAGAAGGGGTTTGGCTGATAAAGACCATCCTGATTTATCATTCATGGGTACACCCCTGTGGTTAGTATCAGAGACAAGGCTCTGAGCCAACACAGACTCAGGTGCAGAACCACCAGCCTCCAGTGCCATTCCTGATCCAGGGCTGCTCCTCAGCTGACTCACATCCTGGCCCCTAACCCCCTGGCCTCCCTCAAGCCACATGCTCTCTGCTAAAGCCAGAAGAGTCTGCAAAGCCCTCCCTACAGCAGAGATGCACATGCCACTGAGTCCATGTAAGACTGGACAGCATAGGACACCACCAAACAGAGCCACTGTGTCTTTTTACGTAAGCCATGGAAATACGGTCATAAAAAATTTTAGAGACATTCTCTTGCAAAAAAGCTTCACAAGAAGAGGTTTTGGAAGGCAACCTGATCTACTGAGAAACAAGCTTTGAAAGGCCAACTCCAGGAACAAGGAAAACTAGACAGGCCAACAAGAGACAGAGCTCGAGATCATTTAACTTCCTTTTCAGGAATTTATACGTTTCTATATATCTACTAATGAGGATGTATGTGTGTATTTACATAGCACTCAAAACCTCTTAGCTTGATTTTATTTACTTGTTTTATGCTAATTTTGTCCAGTTAGGCCTTGAAACCAGTCTACCATGGCAGCTGGTAACTATATAGTAGCACTTTAGAATTTCCTTCATGTAAGCATGTGTTTGAAAAATCAGCACACATGTTTGAAGCAGAAGAAAACACATTTGCTTTAGAGAATCAACACCTCTCTTGAGATTAAGTCTGGGATGTTTTCATGTGCAGTGGCCTCTCCCCTTCTCAAGCACGAGGACAGTCAGAATTCCAGGTGGACAGCACAAGCCAGGTCCTCTGATAAATATACATACACATCTCAAACATCAGCAGGAGCCTCATTTATATGAGCATGCATATATTTGTATAATTTGCACAGGTCAACGGCCAGTAAATCAAGTGCAAGTAAAGAATCTGCTCCATACACAGAGGTTCAAATAAATGTTTGAAGCACACTCCCATGTCTTAAAAAGGCTACTGAATACACTGCAACTAGCTGGATGAATTCTTGTTCATCACTGTGTTTTGTTTTGCATGTTCCAAACTTCAGACTAGAGACATTCAAACTGCTAGCATGGTGAACAGCATATGCTAAAACTTTAATCTTCTTCAGTTGTCTAGCTATGCTTCATTCCCTGAAGAAACAAATAATCATTACAGATTCTGAGCACATTACTCTGCACTGATTAGCAAAAGATGAAAATGAAAAAGAAGTTTTGCCAGGATAATAAATCTGTGGTCTTTTTCTAGACGTACTTGCAAAAATCACAGATTTCTAGAGCTTTGCCTACTTAGGACAGACTTCTGTTTCTCTCTAATAGTAGTGAACTGTACAAATGCCAGCTCCAGGTACAGCAATTCTGAACAGTATTCATTCTTATTTTACAAGTTGGTGACGGAAGGAAGTATCCGTTTCATACAGACTTAGCGTACATACAGGTGGACTCCTACAGCTTCAGAAAAAGTTTATTCCCACCCCAATTGTGTGCATGTCTTTCTATAGCACTTCAGTTTTATTTTGGGGTGTTTTCTTGTTTTCTTCTACAAAGAATAAAAGGGAAAATAATGCCCATAGTAAGGCAACTGCAATAGCAGCAGGTTTGAACTTCTTGAAAATTGTTCAACTGCTTTTATTCATCCAGCTTAAAATCATGTAATTGTAGAAGCCTGGAAAGCTGTATTTGGCAGTGTTCTTCAAGAGCAGTTAAAACACAAGATTATTGATATTTAGTGGGAGTGGAACGTTCTGTATGTATAAAACTTGTGTATATTGTAATGAGTAACTTAAGGGTGGCTAAGGAGTTTATAAATGCAAAAATCAACAAGTACGACATTCGCCTCTTAAATATGAGTGCAAAAAATATGAACAGTTTTTGGGTGAGGCAGTAGATTGTCAGTTTTTAAAAAAAACAACACACCAAAAAAAAACCCAACCATGAGTAATTTAGATGCCAATTGTGTTTCATTCCCTTTATCTCCTCCAAAGACTGGAGAGATTGCAAGAAGCCAGATTTCAAAGCCATATCTGAGAACTGAAGCTGCAGACTCAGCTACAGAGCTCCTGGCCACAAGCTCATATAAAGCCTTCAAGTCATATATTTTTTTTTTTAATGATGCCTACTAGCAACCTTGGCTCTGTTTACAGAACTGCAATTGCAAAAATCCACTTAGCTCATTTTGTGATCCTGCTTTAACAAGAAAGATCTTTTACTCTGGGCTGATCTACTTCAACAGGCCCCCAGGCAGCTCCACAGAAGTGAGCTGTTGTCAGGATTTAGCCTGCTAACTCCTGTTTGCCTGCTTCACTACTAAAAATGGTAGCTGGCATAACATGCAAGACAGACGAATTTAAAATCACCAGTTGCACCCAATGAAAATCATGGCATGCATACTGTAGCCTAATCTCTCTACATTGGTATTTTGGTTGGATTGCCAGCATTTCTGATAATTCCTTATCTGTAAGTGGTGCTGTCAGAGCACACCACTGTAATGATCAGGGAGTCCGCAGCCTTCTCCCAGCATGTCTCCTCTCATTCATGCTGCATAGATAGGCTTTCACAACAGGCTGTGATTCATGGGTGAGGAATGTTTGGTAGATATCCCCACAGAGCCTGCAGACTGTGGTTATTGCTTTTTTGCAGCAGTCTGAAGATTCATGTTTCTCTCGTTAAATGAGTGATGACACAGTGAAGTACAGGTCTGGGCATGGTCCAGGCTCATAATGAACGTCTACAAGTATTTCACAGATTATCTATACACACACTGTTCACATAGAGATGTTCTAAACTCTATTGCAATTTGATCATATGTGCATCAAATACGTCTATTAATTTCTGCAAATACTTCCACCATGCCACTAAAAATAAACTTTTACTTGCAAAGAGAAGTAACACCATACTTTGAACACTGTGGAAGGTGTTGATTAGCCTCCGGCTTGGCAGCCTTATAAAGCATTAAACAGGCTTTATTTTATGTACCAACCGACTGCCATGAGCCTTCTCCCATATATAAAAATCAATCATTTTGCTCAGGAACTTTGCAGAACCAGGCCTTGGCAGTTTACTGTCACACTTGAGAGAGAACTTAATTTTTGTATTTCACATGTGTCTTAAAACTGCTTTTTTTGTTGCAAATATTTCCTCAAATTAACTATGGAAATTCGGGCCTGAGGCTGTATGTGTAAGGCAAGGTGCATGTGGAATATCTCCTATAATTTGTTAGCCATCAGACCTTTTCTCATTCCTTCCCTTTCCTGTATGTTTCCATTTCGAAGATGCTCAATGACATATGTTCAAGGCCTTTTCAAAAGAATAAAAGGCAGGAAGGAAGCAAGAGTCAAAAAAAAGGAAATGAAAGGAAAACAGAAAAACAGAGGCTGTCAGGAAAACAGTGCAAATAGCTGTAATGGCACTCTTCACTAAATAAAACTGTAGTAAGGGCATCTGTTACCTTCATAATCATTGGGACTTTATTCAAAATGAATAAATAAAACCGGAGACCTCTATATATAGTGAAGGTAACATGGTGTCCTTCTCCCTGGTGCTCCTGAGAAGCCTCAATGCAATGATGCAAACAGGAAGAGACTGTCAACATTGCCTATCTACTGAGTCCAAAATAACACTTCAGCGATAGTTTCAATTAAAAAGTCCTCTTCATTTTTGTGTCTAGTTACCCTCCCTCTCTGCTCAATACAGTCAAGTAGCTTTTTTAAACTTACCCTTCTCGGAGCAACTTTTAGCCATCACTTGGCAGCAAACTGCTCCAAGAGAAAGCTATTAAAAATATTCTGTGATAGCTACATGAAACAAGTGGTATGAGCTAGAGTATGTTGTACAGCTCTGTCAACAAGATTTATACCCATGTCCAGTGGCTCTCTGTATCAAAATATGATATTGCATGCCCTACTGAAGAGAAGATAATACCCTTGACTTTCCACAACCAACCAAGCCAACCATTTCCTTCAGTGACTAGCACATAGCAATTATCCACATTCTGATTGCAAAAAAAGCAGTTACAGGAAAGTATTTAGATCCATAAATAGTGCAGGATTTTCTTTTGCTGTTGTTTAGCAACTAGAACCAATGCTAGGTGACAAAGACAGATCCCCAGACCTCCAAGCTGCATTTCCCAGAGAACAGTTTGGGAACTGCTGCTGAAAAGCATCAGGCCAGCCCTGATATCCTACTGAATATGCTATGATTTGGACCTTTCAAAACACTGTTTAATAAAGCCAGCAGTTCTTGTGAGCCTGGAATGAATGAAATCGCCTGCTCATAGGTTTACATCTTATGCCTTAGTGACGCTGATGTCCAAAGAAGGCAGAAAAGCTTTTTGCCATGATTGAGGCAGACTGTAAAGCAGGGTGCTTTAAGGATCACTCTGACGTACTCTGTGTTTTCATAAAACTTGCATAACAAAAATACCTGAAAATTTGTCAAAATCACTTGATATCACCCGTAATTTCAAAAAGTATTTTCAAGGGAGAGTTACATGAATGGATGCATTGCATGTGATCACAGAAACCTTGCTTCTGCAGGAAAAAAGTGTGAAAGATTCTAAGCTACAAAATCCCAAACCAAACTCTACTTACCTTAGTGTTCATACAAGATTTTCCACGTTTATATTCTTTGTGACTTGCTCTTTTATCAAGCTTGTTCCACAAAGCTTTGGCCTTCCACGTGGTCACTCTTGACTTCAGTTTGGTGTAAAAGTTTCTGTTGTCCAAAGGATCTAATTCAAGTTGGCGAGTGAGAATATTAAAGGCCTGAATGGTACCTTTGCATGTTGATGCTTGTACAAAGTTTTCAAATATCTGGCCAGCTTGACTGTATTTTTCATCCTCATTTTCCCCCATGTTCTAAGAGAAGTGTTTGAAAAGGATTGGGCTGGAGCTCTTGTGTTGGAGTACAGGTAATCAACACTACCAAGTACTTTCAAGCATGTTATTCCTAGAAAAGAGAAACACAGGTCATGTTAAAGCAGGTGCAGCATAACCAAATTAAACCTACAAACTGCATATCCACTATTTGAGATCCCCAGGACAGTGAGAAGAGCGTGCAGCAAGCTCACTGCCCTGGACTTCAAGAGAGCAGACTTTGGCCTCTTCAGGAACCTGCTTAGTAAGGTTCCATGGGATATAGCCCTAGAGGGCAGGGGGGCCTAAGACTCTTGGCTGGTCTTCAAGGATCACCTGCTACAAGCTCAGGAGTGTTGCATCCCATCTAGAAGGAAGTGCAGCAGGAGGGCCAGGAGACCTCCTTGGATGGATAAGGAGCTGCTGAGGAAACTTCAAATGAAAAAAGAGTCTTATAGAAAGTGGAGGCAAGGACAGGTGGCCTGGGAAAAATACAGGGATGCTGTCCGGGAAGCTAGGGACCAGGTTAGGAAAGCTAAGGCCCAGTCAGAATTAAACTTGGCTAGGGATATGAAGAATAACAGGAAGGGATTCTACAGGTACATAGCAAATAAAAACCAGACTAGGGAGAATGTAAGCATCCTCAGGAAGCTCTCAGGTGAACTAGCTACACAGGATTTGGAGAAGGCTGAGGTTCTGAATGACTTCTTTGCCTTGGTCTTCTATGGCAAAGGCTCTGATCGCACCACCCAAGTCTTGGAAGGCAGACGCAGGGACTGTGAGAATGAAGACCTTGGGCCCACCGTAGGAGAGGAACTGGTTCGAGACCATCTTAAAAATCTGAACATGCACAAGTCCATGGGTCCTGATGAAATCCATCCACGGGTCCTGAAGGAGGTGGCGAATGAAGTTGCTAAGCCGATGGCCACCATATTTGAAAAATCGTGGCAGTCAGGTGAAGTTCCCAATGACTGGAAAAAGGGAAATATAACCCCCATTTTCAAGAAGGGGGAAATGGATGACCCGGGGAATTACAGACCAGTCAGTCTCACCTCTGTGCCTGGCAAAATCATGGAGCAGATTCTCCTGGAAGGCATGCTAAGGCACATGAAAATCAACAAGGTGCTTGGTGACAGCCAGCATGGCTTCACCAAGGGGAATCCTGCCTGACCAATTTGGTGGCCTTCTATGATGGGGCTACAGAACTGATGGACAGGGGTAGAGCAGTTGATGTCATCTACCTGGACTTGTGTAAAGCGTTCAAAGCTGTCCCACATGACATCCTTGTCTCTAAATTGGAGAAACATCGATTTGATGGATGGACCATTCAGTGGATAAAGAACTGGCTGGATGGCTACACACAAAGAGTTGTAGTCAATGGCTCAACGTCCAGCTGGAGACCTGTAACGAGTGGTGTCCCTCAGGGATCGGTGTTGGGACCGGTCTTGTTTAACATCTTCGTTGCTGACATGGACAGTGGGATTGAGTGCACCCTCAGCAAGTTTGCCGATGACACCAAGCTGTGTGGTTCGGTTGATACGCTGGAGGGAAGGAATGCCATCCAGAGGGACCTTGACACGCTTGTGAGGTGGGCTGATGCCAACCTCATGAAGTTTAACCATGCCAAGTGCAAGGTCCTACACCTGGGTTGGAGCAATCCCAGGCACAGCTACAGGCTGGGCAGAGAAGAGATTCAGAGCAGCCCTGCAGAGAAGGACTTGGGGGTGCTGGTCGATGAGAAAATGAACATGAGCTGGCTTCAGTGTGTGCTCACAGCCCAGAAAGCCAGCCGTATCCTGGGCTGAATCAAAAGGAGAGTGACCAGAAGGTTGAAGGAGGTGATCCTGCCCCTTAATTCTGCTCTCATGAGACCTCACCTGGAGTATTGTGTGCAGTTCTGGTGTCCTCAACATAAAAAGGACATGGATCTGTTGGAACAAGTCCAGAGGAGGGCCACGAGAATGATCAAGGGACTGGAGCACCTCCCATATGAAGACAGGCTGAGAAAGTTGGGGCTGTTCAGCCTGGAGAAGAGCAGGCTGCGTGGAGACCTCATAGCAGCCTTCCAGTATCTGAAGAGGGCATATAGAGATGCTGGGGAGGGACTCTTCATTAGGGACTGTAGTGACAGGACAAGGGGTAATGGGTTAAAACTTAAACAGGGGAAGTTTAGATTGGATATAAGGAGGAAATTCTTTCCTGTTAGGGTGGTGAAGCACTGGAATAGGTTGCCCAAGGAGGTTGTGAATGCTCCATCCCTGGCAGTGTTCAAGGCCAGGTTGGACGAGGCCTTGGGTGATATGTTTTAGAGCAAGGTGTCCCTGCCCATGGCAGGGGGGTTGGAACTAGATTATCTTAAGGTCCTTTCCAACCCTAACTATTCTATGATTCTATGATTCTATTAATATAAAAATACAACATATGGCAAGCAGACGAGGTACAAAAAGTTAGTAGTAGCTTCTAAGACAAGTGTTACAAACATATTTGCGCTCTCATGATACACTTCACGATGACTGATACAGAAACCCTACAAAGTCTACTGCTTCAAAACCAACCAACTTCACCATGAGCCTCAAGATTTCTTTAATTTTTGTTCAGTGATATCTACTAGATAATAGATGAAGAAAAAACACATGTCCAGATACTTTTCCCCAAGAAGAATTTATGTCCCAGCAAGTACTTGGCTGGTAACATCTTAAGAATTCTTAGAAACCTGCAGCCAAAAGTCAACACCAGCCCTTGCATAAGCGAGGGCCAAGAGCACAGCTTAGCTAGAGCAATTTACAGTTGGCACAACCACTTGCCACAAGCAAATGCACAAAACAGGCTAAGAGGAAATATTATCACAAGTTACACCAGAACTGAAGAAACAGCAAACAAGTAACAAGAGCACTCCCCTTTTTCTAACACTCTTGCCAAAACCAGAAAGAGTTTGGTGCTTTAGTGCACAGAAAGGAATTTTATCTCCACATGTTAAATGCTAAAGCTCTATGTTTGGAGTCTTACTTTGTCATGTGCTACGATATAAAATAGTGATGCTTGGCCCACTAAGCCCCACTGTTTTTTCGTAGTAACATGATCACTGTCAAACTGCCTGATATTCCAGATAAATGCCCTTACATTCTCTAAGAGCAATGCTATTCTAAATTCATGTATGTTTGAAAGAACTAACAAACTTTCACTGTGGCACTCCCTTATCCTTCTTTAACCTTGCTCTCAATCTCTAATGAGGAGACTGTTAGAGTCAGCCAAGGTCCACAGAAAATATGCAAGTAGCTTTCACATTTTCCAAGAATATTGTTACAGGTTATGTATAAACTTGTCCTCAGAAGAGGGTCTACCTGGACTCAAGGCCAGAGATTTAAGTCATGGGTTCTTTCTGTTGCTATGAAAGAATTATCTACCACTCCAAAAACCCCAAACCTAAATCAATGCTTGCCTAACCTCCCACATAATTAGTTATTTTGCTTGGAACATCATCTGTTGGCTGATAGTTTTAGAATAAATTGTTAGAAAGGCCTTTGAAGTTTCTGCTTTTTAATTTAACGCTGTTCACAAACTATTCATTCTCTGCTTGCACTTCCTTCAAAGAAGAAAAAAAGAAAACATAACCAGTGTATTTAGGTACAGACCTACCATGTCTATCTTACATTATCTACCCTCTAATACTGAAAAATATTATGCAACTTAGTAAAGAGATCCCATGGGGAGATATAAGGAAGCATTTGGAATACTCACATTCCCTGGCTGTGCTCAAAATAAATAACCTTTGTGTGCACAACTTTGCCTGTTGTTGGTTTGTGGGTAAAACAAATTGGCAACATTGAGAGTTTGTAAATTTTCTTAGACCAAATGTCATGATTAAATATTTAGTGCCAAGAATAAGTCAGGAAATTTTTGTTTTCCCCTCTGAATACTTCATTTATAGTATGCTCCATGCCCTTTTCTGAAGAGCTTTGTGGCTTTGTGAGGTAAAAGCACAAGTATTTTATATGCCCGACTTCCAGAAGGTCTAATTTTTCAGGAGACTGAGTGCTATGAACTCCCATTGACTTGAAAGGAGTTCAGGACATCCAGTGCCTTTCCAGGTTCAAGTTCTCAATGATTTATGAGCAAACCCCTCCAACAATTGCGTGGCGATGGAAAGAACCCTGGCCAGCTCCTCAACCCCTGTACAGATGTGACTGGGGCCCAGCATTACCTTCCCCAGCCACGACTTTGGGAACTCAGAGCTACAGTGGGTTTTCGGGTCGCTCCAAAACAGCCCAATAGATCCAGAAGTTCCTAGGGGAAGGGTAGGGACTGCCATGTCCCTGCTGAGCCTGGGAGAGGCTGATGTGTGTCTGCGTTTCAGCTTTACACACAAGTGTAACTGAAGATAGCAACAGCACAGCGCAAGATGCCACTATGCAGTTTAACAACTTGATATACAGGAATTCCAGGATTCAAGACGCATTGAAAAAGAAAGAGCTCAAATCAAGGATAAATACTTACCTGCCGAAGATATTTTTTGTAACAGAAAAGCCAACATACTTTTCTTGTCTCTTGGGGAGGGGCAAAGTGTCAGTGAAATGTTCCACTTTGGACAACTGAGCTAAGTGAACAGCAGCCAGATTATGTTTTATTAATCACTATAAACTCACATTGCTACTGCCTCAGTGCTAGACCAAAGACTTTGACTGACTTACTAGCTATAAAACAATACTTCCTCTCCACTGTTTTCATTAGCTCACCACAAGGCTGTTGTGTTCATACAACACAAATATCTTTAAACGTTACCTCTGGCATAGTTGATACGCGAGTCTGATCACAAGCTCTTTAATCTAGTATCTTTTCTGCTCACAGAGAGGAGATTTTTATAGTCTCAGCACTTTCCATCTAACTGGGGAATGGGGGGAGAGAAAAGCTAAGAGAGTAGAGCCATATCTGAATCAACCAAAGAGGAAAAGCAGTATGTGCCAGGGCTGATAACAGTGAAGAGGAGACAGAAGAGATGGTTGGCAGGAGCCGCTGCAAGCAAAGGGAAGGGGAGGAAAACATTTTTAGCATGATGCAAAACAGTGGACATTGGTGTTGCACACAAACACAGGCAGCAGGCCTGGGTTTCCTCGGCCTTTCCACTGGGAAAGACAGCAGGAAGGAAGGACAGCCTGAACACTTTAAAATTCCCTTTTCCAACACCAAAAAGCCAAGACTGAAACTGCTTCATCTGGGCACAAAATCTTCCAAAAAAACATCTAAACCACTCCCATCCTGTCCACACTGAAAAGCTGTGGAGTGGCATCTCAGCAGAGACATGTGGTCACCAGCAAAGCATTTCTCCTCACTGTGTCAGAGGTCACATTCTCCAAAACAGCCACATTTTGTGGTCAAAAAGGCAGGATGAGACAGGAGACTCTGGTTACTTGGGTTTCTGGCTTGCTGGAAACACCACTTGTTTTCTCTTTTTTTGGACATGAACAGAGTGTTGGCAGATGACAGAGAGGAAGATGCTGTCCTAAGTGTATGCAGCTCTTAGAAAAGTATGCATTTTTTTCTGAGGAGTCACAAATATTTCAATGCAGCATTGCACATAGCTCACTAGAAGCAATGCAATAAGGACAAGAGGTTCAACAGAGTAATTCTGAGCTATAATTAAAGTTTCTTGTTCTGTAACTGTCTTTTAAGACGGACTTAAGAGGCAATGCATAAACTGCTTACCTGTATTGGGGAAAATAAAAACAGTGTTAGGGCAAGTACTTGATTTCTTAAGAGTATTCTCATTTATCCTTTTTCTTCCTTCATCGTGTAGACCACTCTAGGGATGAAATACAGATCCAAAAGTCTCATCCAGGTAAGTATTGATGTTGAAACTTCAAACTATGCTTTTTAAAGTAATCGCTGAACTTCCTCTGGAAGCACAATCCAAAAATATAACGAGGCTTACCTGAAACTTTACTGAAGTGCTCGAGCCCAATAAAAACTTGGGTCACAAGAAAGGAAGAGAATTAGAAAGCAGGAACTGATCTGGACAAATGTTCTTTGAAGTCAGAACTGAAGCATCTACGGGTTAGATTCACACCTAACAAGAACTGTCACTTTAGGTTCCACGTATGATGTATTAAGCACATACAAGAATCTAGCCTTCCATGCAGCTTCCCCATGGTATTACAGGCATCTCTGGAGCCTCCCTCACACAAAAGTGCAGATACCAAGAACAAGATGACCCCCATTCTGATAATCTCTTCTACCTTAATGTTAGCCCAACCTCCTCTCTGCCTCCATTCCCAGGCAAACAGGAATGTCAGATAAGAAAATCTGAGAAGTGCTGTTCATGCCTGATAGCTACCAAGGAGAAAGTGAAGATCTTACTACAACTTAAAGGAAAGCAGTGCAAAACGGACAGAAAGAAAGCAGAAATTGAAGTTATGATGCATGTACAGATGTAAACATCTGAAAGCAAATGCCTCAGGTCTTGGCTGATACTTCCTGTTGGTAAAACAAACACTGTTACTCCAGATGACTTTGAGAATAGTGAAAAAATGTCTCCACTGTCAGAGGAATTCCTGTCATCATCACCAACTAAATGAATGTAGGGAGCTGGTTCACACCTGCACATGAAGCCTTTCAGCATAACAGAGCAAGCAATAAAGCTGACATACAGGAGTCATTAAATGAAAGTAACGTACATTTTTGACAAGGGTACCATGTGAATTGCTTGTCAGCAGTGTTTGAGGTAGGATACTCAAAAATCAAAAACTTTTCTCAGCTTAGTTGTCCCACAGGAGGGAATACAACTCTAATTTGAATTCAAACTTGCAGCACTTAAGTCCTTCCTTACTCCCCTAATGCTGTTTCTAATATTTGAGAACATGTACCTCAGGGAGAATGTAAAATAATTAAATTCCTCACATTTCAATACCACTAATCCTGATTCCATTTTCAATATAGCCCTAATTCTGTCATGTTTAACAAGAATAAATTCTTTTGTTAAGACTTCAGTTTGGCATGCAGGATACAATAGATTTATTGCTTGCTTGAAGTTTAAAAGATCAAGAGAAAAAAGACTGGTTTCTGCAGCACCTGTATTAATCATCTACTTTGGCCTTTCCTCATCATGAGTAAAATCAGTATTTGTGCTCCCTCTTCTCTGACATAACGGCCTCAAGTTTCAATATCATTACAATAAGTTAAATTTCCAAGTGAGATTGGCTGTGTTACAGGACCTTCTAGGTTTTTTAACTTAGTTTCTACTCGCATTAGGCACTTTGTTTTCATGGTGACCATTTTAAATATAAATATTTCTATCTGGAGGAAACACAGCTTTTTGGTGGTTTCATTTCTTTGCATGTTTTCCTCAAACTGACATAAAAGGAGGAAAAAAAAAAAGTGATTCTTGTAGTAACTGAAGCTCTCCTTTACTTTGCTTATAAAACTGGCTAAAAAAAAACCCCACAAAAGTACATTTGTCTAAAATACTTGTTTTCTATTGGTGACAAATAGGAAACACATTTCTTAAGATGCAAATCATAACAGAAACATCAATGTTTCTGAACACAGCCTCGCAAACAGTCTCTCTTTATAAACAGCCAGATTACTTTTCTTTATTTTTATGAAAAGCTGACTTCCACTGAACTCCCGCAAAATAACTTTGCAGGCCAAGTATGGAATTCAAAACAGTTCCTACTGAGACATTCTGTGCCTATGAACTTACAAGGTTACCATACACGCTATCAGCTTGTTTTGCCAAAGTTATATGAGACATTTCAAACACAAGCCTTCCAACAAGTGCTGCTGTGCCGATTTAACCTGCTACATCTGGAATCATCCCTCAGTAAAGCATAGCTGGAAGCACGTGCACAAGTACACTAACACTCTGGTGTGTATTTTAAATATGTTCACAGGAAGCATGAAATAAAGTGACTTATCTGTAGTATTTTATCTGCCACACAGACTAAGTCACATTCCACACATTTTAATGTTGAAAGCTTTAAAAATAGTCCAGTTTGTTTCTTGATGTTACTGGTCTGAGCCTTCAAGTTTTACTGTGGGAATACACTAAAACACTGACAAGTAAAATGAGCTCAAGCACGTAAGGAAGCCGTGTGCATACATCTCTGTTAATGCAGAGTGCTGGCATGGGTAAAGCATGGGATGCTGCCCAAGGGTCTATGTGTAATCCTAGATATGAAGGATCCAACATCTGCCCCTGCCACAGCTGCTGGTGGGCCCAAGGCAGGCTGCACTACCTTTGCCTTACGGCCACTCTTGCAATGCAGATTACAGATAACACAGAAGACTGGCATTTACAGGGGTCACACCACTCTACCGCCTGCAGAGCATCATTAAAACCCATGGATGCTCATTTTGCAAAGCACGGGCACAAGTATTTCAAATGAATGACGATGCATCATTTACCAGGCATCTGTATGCAGCATATATTTAAACTACTTATCAAAAACACTGATCAGAAATACCAATGCATTTCTGAGGAGTCAGTCGTAAAATAAAAAAGTTTGTTGGTTTTGGTGTTTTTTTTTAGGTAACGGTGTTGCACCTATACTGCTGGAAATTGTAACTCTAAACCTCTAAGTCCAATGATTTTGAGGAAAAATGTCTCTACCCCAATTATTGTTTTGTGCAGGTTACAGTGACTATTTCAGAATTATTATTTTAACAGGGGTGCTAAAAGCTTTATTACAAGGTCCCAAGTTCCCATACAGTCTACATCTTCAAAGCTAATTGTAGGTGATTAAGCCACAGTCATTAGGGGTTACTGTTATGAATAAACAAGATATTAAAACCCAAGTCTTGTTTAGACTGGTTACAAGAACGATCATTTTTCACATCTAGTCAAATAGATTAGAAACATAATATAAACAACAGTAAGAAGTTTATGCTGATGTTTTCTTAGGTTAGAATCACAAAAGCAAGGGAAAAATGTATACCATAAGAATAATATCAGCCTCTTAAGAAAGGGCACCTGTTATATTTAAGTTAGAAAGATCTCATGAAAATACTGCCAGTGAAAACAATTAAAATTACAAACTTTAAGCTCTTTGAAGATCCTGCCTTTCTTTTCCTGTACTGACACTTGAAATTTCATGTTCACAAACTAGAACAGTGGAGATACAGAAGTTAGTCACAGAACAGACAGTGGGCTGGTTGTTTTTTGATCAGCACAAGATTTTCTATTTTCATTAAGATGTTAGGATATTGGGCGGGACTAACTGAGAGAGTGAATTGCTTCAGAGAAGAAATATCCTATTTACCATCACCAAAACTATGTCCAGCAGGGAGGCAGCAGGGCCAGGTACATAAGGCTGGGCAGACAACAGGACAGGATGATGGAAAGGGAGCTCTGGCACCACTCCTGCCCAGCTGCCAGTGAGAGCATCGATATCCCCCTCCATCTCACAGCCATCCCTGTTCCTCATCTCAGGTCACAAGGAAATCTTAGACGGTACATCTGTGCCTATGAGGGGCACAAAAAATGCATACCCTGTAGCTGACAGAGCTATGTCAGCAAAATCCCTGGTATAGATGCAGCTATACCAACAAAACTGAGCCACATTGGCAGCAGCAGTTCCTCTAGTACAGCCCTCCCTTTGTATGCACTGGGACGTAATTATGGAGGTAAATACACCATGAAAAAAGAACAAATGCATGAAACCAGGAAAAAGGATACTCTTAGTCAGCAACCATGGAAATAATGTTGGGTTTTGACACTTTAAGAATAGGGATAATCCAGATGGATGGGGCAGCAAGACAGGCTATGAACTGACACAGCAACAGGAGACTGCCTCTGGCAGTGCCAGAGGAGATGCCACCACATTTCTTGGCAGCTGGTGGCTCCCAGAAGTGAGCATGGGGCAAAGAAGGCCACCAGTCTTGGTGCCTTCCTGCTTTCTCCATCTGGGAGCAACCCTATTCCCATATTCAGCCTGTTCCCTTACTGCCACCACTCTTGCCCCAGAGCAGAGACTGGTGATCAGCACTGCTGCTACTCAGCTGAGAACTGCACAAAGACATTAGCTGGAGACACCAGAAGTACCTTGCAATAAGGGATCAGACAACAGTGGATACCAGTATAAGACTGTCTTTTGCTTCTCCTCAGGATTTCTGTAAGAAAGAAGATGAGGTTTTTTGATGTTTGTTGTTTTGGTGTGTTTTAAGCAAAAAATATGAAATGATGGCTGTGCTGAAGCAAAATGTCTTGTGGGAAGAAAAAGAAGAGCACCAATGTTAGTTTTCACAGAATACGTGCCAAAAGCTCTCTGGAGTATGTTTCAGATTGTCTTTCCAAATGTGAATAGCTGGTTATATATCTTCTCCCCAGTATGTATCCCTCTTGCTATTTGGGCTGCAGCAGCTACCCAAAAGCTGAACAGGAGGAATAAACAGCATGACTGCTGCAAGAACCCAAGGGCTCCAGGCCACGAGAATTCTTTTGGCAGAGCTCATCTGTAGACATCAGAATTCCAGATCAGTAATCAGGATTAATCCACTGAAAACACAGACATCATTGTATTGCCAATCAAAGAAATAAAACATTCTGGGCAGTACTTCATATGCATACACCCATGCTTTTAGGAATCAACATATTCCACCTTTACAGTGTTTTAATGCAAGCTGGCACACAGTACTTCCTGCAGCTTATTGGGGTACTAATGTTATCAGTCACACTGGAATCCATGGAAACCACCAGTAAGTTAAAGAAAAGCAATCCAAAAAATGTGAATGACAGGCTCCTTGGTTAGAGTAATGTCAATTCACCACCAAAAGAGCCATTGAGCGACAGTGAAGAACTGTGAAGCTGCACACAGCCAAGTCAGGCAGAGGGTGGTAGAAAACCATGATATTTAGGTTAAACACCAAACTCTGCTCCAGAGCACATTTACATGAGAAGAAAAAAAAAAAAAAAAAGAAAGAAAGCA